CACACACACACACACACACACACACACACACACACACACACACACACGTAGAAAGAAAAGAAGGGGATTATAGTCACATGCAAGACAAATAAATGTAAAACAAATTTAAGATGCATAATAATCATCATCTTTTGATTTACTTTAAAAAATAAATCTTAAGTCACTCTTACTACCATCAAGTCTTAAAATGTATTGAGCACAATGATATTTTTATAAAAGTTTAATATTATTAGCAAGGCACGGTGGCACACGCCTACGATCCCAGTACTCAGGGAGGCATGGGTAAGCAGACTCCTGTGAGTTCAAGGCTAGCCTGGCCTACAAAGTAAGCCCAGGACAGCCAAGACTACACAGGGAAACCCTGTTTCAAAACAAAAACAAAAACAAAAACAAAACAAGTTTAATAGTATTATCACCAAATCATTTACAGCACATAATTTTCAATCAGCTTTTTCAGTAACCATTTTTGGTTTTTTGGTTTGGTTTGGTTTTTTGTTGTTTTGGGGGGGCTTTTTGTTTGTTTTTGTTTTTGTCACTCAGGCAATTATATGAACAAGTGTCTTATAAAAATCAAAACTCTGGAAAACTTACTCAGTATGGAATTTTCAGTTGTGAAAATGGTCCGTCTTAATCCCAGTCGCATTGTTCCTCCCATGTTGCCAGGGTTGTGTTCAGGCATGTCAATTATCTTTAAAAAAATAAGTCTAGTTTTACCATTTTGCAAGGATGTATTTTGCCAAAATTTCAGAATTAGTTTAAGAGGAATGAAAAGATTCCTTTGATCAGTTCTCCTGGTGTTCCTGAAAAGAAGTAGCAACCTAAAACATCCTTCTCAAACTATATAAAACTCTTACTTCTGACGCTCATCTTTTACCCAAATCATTTAGAAAACAATATCAGGGAGCTAAGTATGTAGCTTGGTTGGTAGAATTCTTGTCTAACATGCGTGAAGCAATAGGTTTGATCCCTAGAATCTCAAAAATAGGGAATGGTGGAGCAATCTGTGATACCAGCACTCAGAAGGATCTCTGTGAGTTCATGGGCAGCCTGGTCTACAAAGTGAGATCCAGGACAGCTAGGGCTACATAGGGAGGGAGGGAGGGAGAGAGGGAGGGAGGGAGGGAGGGAGGGAGGGAGGGAAGGAAGGAAGGAAGGAAGGAAGGAAGGAAGGAAGGAAGGAAGGA